CTCGCTGAAAAATCACCGACTGTAACCAGAGATGATTGTTCATATTATGGACGAGTGAATACAACTGGTTTCGGTTTTATAAGATCATACGAAGGAATTCCAGAAAATATTTTAGTTAATTTAGTTGTTTCATCGGTATAATATATACTACAATAGAAAAATAAACGAATATTAACTTTTCATTTTGAATATAGATACTTCTATTACTTTTTGCTTATTTACGACGTCGTTTTTCTGATTCGAAAAGTATGGCTGATGGAACAGAGTAATAAAATTGTTATATATGTTTGTTTTTGAAAAGAAATCTTTCTTTTTCTTATAGAATATCAACTCTTCTTTATGGTCAAAGTAATTCATCACGCCATGCAGTGCATAATGTAGGTTATCTATACAACTGATTTTTATAACATTACTTTTTTACTTCCTACAATTAATTTTTTATTTGCATAAAAGAATGCTGCTACTCATAATTTTGCATAATTTCTCATTATTTCTTTTTCATTTTATACAGGCCAAGGAATCCTGTCTTCATCGATACTGTGTGGTAATGAACAATCTTTTTTAGACTAATAGTTTTTTTTCTTCTTAACAACGCTTATAGTGTGATGCACTTAGATATATTCTATTTAAAAAAGCTTTCTAACACATCGTAATTTATTGAAATCTTTCCTTTTATTTAGTCACGATGGTTATGGATTCGAGATTTATTTACAATCAGGTATAAATAGATTCATATATTTTTTTCTTTAATAATTATATCATTTAGTGACTGGGATGTTTATCGAAATTGCTCACCAGATGCATATTATTATCTTTTATTTCATACTTATTTAATTACTTATTTACTTTTTGTAACAATATTTTCTTTGGCTATTGTATTACCGGTTAATTTTCAAGGAACACAAGGTACGAGGAGAAAAAAATGAATTATAATTTAGAAACGAAATCTTCTTTTGCCTACATAGGAACAATCGAACAAAGATTTGCTCAATCAACTATTGCTAATTTACCTCCCGAGTAAATTTTCCATTTCCTGTTTCTATTGATATTCATAAAAAAAAAATTTCTTTTTCAGTTCACCATTACTATGGGTTCATGCGTGTGCATCGATATTATTCGTACTAGCTGGTATTATTGTAGCTTATTTATATACGAATGCTACACGATATTATGCAACAGAAGATATGGTATGTAGAGAAAAACTTGTTTCTTAGTCTCCTTTTTTTTTTGTTAAATATCGATTAATTAGTATGAAGATGAAGCATCAAAAGAAAAAGTAGTGTTTTATGTTGTATAGTTTAGCTGTTTCCCTAAATTCATTTCAGTGAATTGTATATTATGTAATAGTTTCTCATGAATAAGAAAATAATTTATTTGAATTTTGAGATAGATTATTGTTTGTATATATTTAGGCCAGTCGAACATTAATGATCCGTGGAATTCCTCATGAAGCATGTAATGAAGAAAAATTAAATGAATATTTTAAAGAAGCATATCCAGCATATAATATAACACATTTAACTCTTGCTTATAATATTGCTCAATTACAACATTGTTATAAACGACGGTTTGTATTATTTTATCGAATTTTGTTTTGAGAAATGGCGTTATTTTTTTGTAGTGAACTTAATCTTCGTATTTGGCAACAAAGTAAAAAAATGTTTGAAGAAAGTGGTAAACGACCTGTTGTTTATAATAATAAATGTGGACAAATGTGTGGTGTAAGTAAATAGTTAAAATCAATCCCTATTTAAATCTAATTTGAATTATTTTATTTTTTAGTGTTGCGCAAAAGAGGTTTGTTTTTACTGACTCATATATATGTAATTATTTTATAATAGGTTGATGCAATTGAATATTATGAAAAATTATATAATACTTATAAAGAACGTGTTGAATATGAATATTTACATGTTCGATCAAAGAAATGTGGATTAGCATTTGTAACATTTTCAACACCTGTAGAAGCACATAGGTAGATTTTATTTGATCAAATGATTTTATTTTGGCAAATATATATATATATAGAGTTCGTTCAAATTTTCAACCAACATGTTTTGCAGCAGATCGTCGACCGAAACCATCTATAAGTAATTCAATTGGTATACATGAATGGAATGTTAGTTTTGCACCAAGTCCGAAAAATATTATTTGGTAAAAAACATTTTATTTTAGAAAAAGAAAAATTGAAAATATTTCTTCTAGGAAAAATATTCCAATGAGTGAAGTTAGTCATTGGTTTCGAATAATTGTTGTAAACATTGTATTAGTATTTTTCATGATATTTTTAACAACACCATCAATTGTAATGAGTACAATTGATAAAATTGCTAATAAATATCGTTCAATTGATCCATTAAAACGAGTTACGAAACAAATTCAAGTACCTGTTTTTTTAACATCTGTTATGCCAGTATTATTATTACGTATATTTGCTGCTGCCATGCCATCACTTGTTAGTGTAACATCATTACTTGAAAAACAATGGAAAAAATCTGCATTAGATAAATCAATGATGATTAAATTATTTGTTTTTCTTTCAATGATGATATTAATTTTACCATCATTAGGTTTAACAAGTATAGAAGGTTTTCTTCGGTGGGTTTTTGAAAATGAAGAAAATGTTTCACGTAATAATAGAATTCGTTGGATGTAAGTGAAATTAAATTTTAATTAAGAAAACGATAGAATTTTTGTTTGTTTCATAGGTGTGTATTTTTACCAGACAATGGTGCATTTTTTGTGAATTATATAATCACATCAGCATTTATTGGAGCTGCTATTGAATTATTACGTTTAGCTGATCTTGTTTTTTACATCTATATAATTGTAACAGCTAAATCAACAGCGGAAAGACGTGTTATTCGACATGTAAGAATTAGTTGTCTTTTATTATAATATTGATTAAAATTTGAAAATTCTAGGCATTACAATTTCCATTTCGTTTCGGAGTGCAATATGCTTGGACATCTGCTGTATTTTGTGTTATTATAGCTTATGCTATCACTTGTCCATTAATAACACCGATTGGTAATATATATATTTTTTTGTTTTCTAATTTTTATATTCTATTTATTTTAAATAGGTTTAGTTTATCTATTTATTAAACGTGCAGTTGATAAATACAACTTAGTATTTGTATATGATACTGAAATAGCAGATAAAAGTGTTCATCGTCTAGCAGGAAATTTTATAATAATTGCATTAATTATTCAACAACTGACATTACTTTTCTTCGTCCTTGTTCGTTCTGGTTTGTATTGAATAAATTAAAAACAAATGAAAATAATTTTAATATATATTTAGAAACATTAACTTATCTATCCATGACATTATTAGGCAGTTTTATTTTAACTAGTAAATATTTCATTATTAAATTTAATCAAAATAAATTCAATGTTATTTTAGGTGGTGTTTATTTGGGTTTCTCATGTTTCGATTGTTGTGGTCGATGGAGTTCACGAAAATATTCACTATCAACACCGGTGTCTGAGGTCAGCACTTATTTTCTACCGTTTACTATTAGATACAAAATTCTAAAGAATATATTTAGAAGAGTAAGATGTCGAAAAAAACACAATAATTTATCAATTTTAATTTTGCACTATATTATTTTGCGAAGGGAACTTATTTCTTAATAATTACTGAATTCGTCTCTTGTTAAATAGTATTTGAAAGAACAGAACGAAAGAGATATGTAGAGCTTAGAATTCCAATCGATTTCCCAGTAAAAAATTGTCGAATTATACCTCATTATATAAGATTCTAATCGATTGAAACCTTTCAAATCAACGATAATTCGATCTTTGATCAGAATATAATCTTCTAAATCAAATATAATTTTGATTAAAAGCATATAGTTTTGATTACGAATGTATTAAATCAAGTTTGTATGCTTTTAATCAAAATTATATTTGATTTAGAAGATTGTATTCTGATTAAAAATCGAATTTTCGTTGATTTGAAAGATTTCATTCGATTATAATCTTATATAATGCGGTATACTTCGACAATTTTTCACTGGGTTAAGCTAATACTTTTAAATTTGTCGTTTTTCAGGAAAAATCTCTTGACTACAGTTAAATATGGATATTCTTATAGGCAAGGCGAATGAAATTCTTTAATATCGAATGATTGCATGATGCTATTTGATTTCTATGCGCCAAAATTTTCTAGATTGATTGTTCGTTTCTGCTGCAGTAGAGGGTTATTTTATTTGTGTAAATGCATGAATGTGTTAAAATAATTATTAAATTGTCTAGCATTACTACTAGTTAAATTTTTACGAAATATTAGCTTACTATTGCTTGGTGACAATATTCATTTTCTCTTAAAGTTAAATGAAATTTGAAATTTATTAGCAGATGACGAATTCTGTTAGATTAAGAACTATGGGGATATCAATTTTTTTTTTAAATTCTACTTTTTGCATATTCTTTTCTTGCTTATGGGAATTTATTTATTTATTTATTTATTTTTCATTTTAAAATTTATTTTATTATAGACCGCTGGAAATCGTCAGAAATTGGATGATTTAGGTGAATTAGAAGAAATGGAAGGTCATGAAAATAAACAACGAGCAACATCAGTAATTATTTCTATTGAAATATTTTATTTTTATTAAATTCTTATTTTTAGCATTATATACCAACTATTTTAAATGCATGTATCGAAGAATTTGATATTCCACCAAGTGCAACTAAAATACGTCGAAGTTCAATACGTGAACCATTACCCCAAGGAACTTATGGAACAACTGATCCAGCTTCTCAACCAATGGTTGTTGGAACTGGTGATGAGAATGATCTACTTATCGACTAAAAAAAAAAGTTTTCTTCAAGCATAATTAATTATTATTTTCTCTCTTCACGCAGTATTCTATGTGCTTATTTTATTGTTGTGTTACTAAAATATATTAGTTAATTGTATACATCGATTATAATCGGATTGTGTAACAATACTTATATTTGTTTATTTATTGTTGATGTGTTTTTTTTATTATTTCATTGATCTGTTGTCAATTTTGTTTATCTAGTGAATAGTGTGGTGGTCATTTTATGAAATTTATATTCTAATCGATATTTTTTGTTGTTTCAGATTTACTTCTATTAAATTCTACTTGTTCATTATATATCAAAAAACAATATTAAGGTAGGTAAAAAAACAATGAGTTGCCTGTTACTAAAGAAAAATATTTAATTGAATTATTTTCTTATAGATGGCTGATGATTTAAATGATGATGATTATTTTCTTCAAGAAGAAATTCAACCTGTAGAAGAAACAGATATAAATGATAAAAAAATTAAAACTAAAAAAACTAACCAAAAATCTCAATTAAAACGAGCAATTGGAACATATTCTGAGTTAGAAACAACAGTTCGTACTCATTATAAGAAATCGAAAAGTCAATATGAACAAGATGAACTTCTCTCCATTTTTAATTCATCATTAGCTGCTCCAACTCCATCAACATCGAAATTATCATTTGATGAATATTTAAATGAATTAGTTCCAACAAATAAATGGTCAAAACAATCTGAATTACCATCAGCACCGGTTGTTTTAATTATTGCTCAATCAGCATTACGTTGTATTGAATTAGGAAAAATTCTCAAGAATTCTTCACATATACCATCAAAATTGTCAACATTTCATTATTTATTTGCAAAACATAAAAAACTTTCGGAACAGATTGAATTAATAAATAAACCAACAACATTTTTTAATATCATTATTGGAACACCAAAACGTGTTGATGATATTCTTGATGGTGCAACTGGATTAAATTTAAAACGATTAAAATTTGTTTTAATTGATTGGAATTATCAAAATATAAAACAACAACGTTTAATTGATTTAAATCAATTAAAAACAGAACTTTGTCATTTGTTGTGTGAACAGAAAGTTTTATTTAAACGTTTTTTAAAAGAAAAAACTCAAATAGGACTTTTCTAATGTTTTTTGTTGAATGATAATGTTCTTGTTAATGATTTTTGTTTTAGATGGGTGGTCCAGCGGATATTAATGGAAAATCACATCCGGAAACAGATAATTTCCTTCCATGTAAATTTGTTATAGATGGAATAACATATTCATCAGCGGAAAATTATTTTCAATGTGCTAAAACAACAAATGATACTGATCGAAATATGGTGTTAAAATCGGGTCCAGGTGAATCAGCTTGGGCAGCTGGACAACGAATTCAAATTCGTTCAGATTGGGAAGCAATTAGAGTTGACGAAATGTATAATGGAAATTTAGCTAAATTTCAACAAAATGATGACTTACGAACTGCTTTAATAAATTCCGGTAATGGTACAGTTCGTTTTACAGGTTCAACACCATTTTGGAATAAATGGAATGGTTTAATAATGGAAAGAATTAGAGCAGAATTACGTCAAAATGGTCAAGAAGATGCTCATCGTGCTGCTGAAATTCGTATTGCTATGAACGAGTTTGCTCAACAAAGCAAATAACAATCGCTGTTTTTTTTAATGAACTTTTAATTCTATATAATTCCGAAATAAATTTAAAAATTTTATTTTTTCAAGATATCCTTTTTGTTTTTTGAATGAAAGAAATATACTCAATTGACCAGAATATTTATGTTACAACTTGTATAAACTGAAAGGAAATGTTAAAACCAATTCTATGAAAATAAGAAAGACTATCTGATAAAAGGATTGTTAGAAATTACAATAGACCTACTTCCTTTCTTTATTCGAACCAAATACATACAAATAGGTTAGAGAAAATCCGCACTTAAAGATTAGGAAAAAGAAAACAAATACTGTATGTCGATGGTATGTGATTGAAAGAGACGGATACACGAATGAAAGGAAATAGAATGACGTAGAAGACAGAACATTTAGTCCAAACTCAATAAATTCGAACTATAATTGCAACTAATTCATAAAACTTTTAAGACCAACAAAAGTTATTTGATATTTTAAATCAGAAACTGACGATTAAAAGATAAGACTTCAAGGAAACATAGGATATCTATCTGATATTCAACTAACAATCTATAAACTTGGAGGTTGTGGATGTGTGTGGAATAGAGTACGCACACTCTCATTAGGTCCTGTAATATTTTCAAGAAAAAAAATCAAGTTTTCGATGTATTTTTAGATGAAATCGTCATCAAAGCAATGATATAATCTTGATGCATTGATAATTAAAACTTCAAATCCACATGAACTTTCGTTGACACGTTAAAAAGATACTCATAAATCATGGATGATAGAATATATTTATGTAGAAGGTTATTAGACAGATCAAAATGTTTCGATTCAGACAAAACACTCAAGTTTTATCGAATTAGAAGCCATAAATGACTTTTTTTTAAATATCTCATACTCAGAAAAAATATATTCAATAAAGTCCATTTACTTCTAGGAATAACAAATTTATTACAAAGAAATAACTGAAGTATGTATTTTTCATTACTGTGAACCAATTTATTTTTCTTATTGATCTGTTTCATATTTTAGGAAACTATTCCTAATCTATGGACTGAAACGACTCTTCATCGAATTTCGTCACGAATTGTTGTATTTATTTATGAAGATGTTAAAATTAATTTAATGCAATATAATTTAGCAATATTAATCGCTTCAATGAGAATGACAAGTGCATTACCACCCAATTATTTGCAGCTATTATATCATTTATTCTAGCAGAACAACTTTGTGTTAGACCAGATGCAGATAATCATTGGACATTATGCGATTATCCTTCATCACATTGAGTTCAAATGGTTAAGTAAATATGATATTCATGGTTTACGAAATCAAATTATACGAATATTTCATAGTGAACATATCACTTGTTACTCACTATGGAATACTTGTTAGTTTATGCGAAATGGATCAAGTTGTAAATAGATAAAATATAATATCAAATAAACTTTGTTCGTTTTAATTTATTTAGATAATTATTGAACAATTAGTATTTCTTATAATAAGAGTAGTTGGTAATCGAATTGTAAAATCATGTGAAAATGCATCATAATCACCGATTGATAAAATAACAATTGATTGAATTGATGGTGTTATATCGGTAAATAATATCTATTTATTATATAATTAATTTATATAATATGTACAAATATATATTTCAACAGTTTACCGTGTATTACGTTCAACATCTCATGATCTTGAACATTTTAAAGAAGGCTTTGGTAATTCTTATGGACAACGTTTGTAGACACAAGTTAATCAACTTCGTCAACAATCAAGATCCACAACTCAACCTACACACGTGAGTGTATGAGACATACTTGATTGATGGTTATCTATAAATGAGTGAAACATCTATTGTTATATATTATTCATTTTGCGCATAAGATATGATATAAAAGTCGATAAGAATAAAAGATAAATATACATAATAAACAAGACAAAAATCTCCGACAATAAGATTGAAACTTGTACATATTCGAAAACAGCTGTTGAACATTGTTCATCACCAGTTGTTATGAATAATTCACATAATAGTGAAAGTTTTTATTCAACACGAAGTTTAAGTTATTTCGATATGGATTTGTCTCAACAACAATAAGATACTAAAGAATTTTATTTATCATCAGCTATGAATGTAAATGATAATATATATAATCATTTGGAAATATCTCAACATTCTTTATCAACTAATACACTTTATTAATTAGTCAATTCAACAATATCAACAGATATGAATCAATATCCTATTAACAAAGATTCATATCCACCTTCAATCGAGTCAATTCGTATTGTTAATGAATTTTTACCGGCTTCTCTACCACCTTCACGTAAAATAATCATTGAACGACAAGTACCACTTCTACAAAAATCTCAACCTATTATTATTAAAAAATAAAAAAATACTGTTATTACATATGATACTTCTCATGTTCATCTTATAAAAAAAATTTATGATCCTGATATATATATACTGCTCAATATGATTCACAATTAGCATCAAATGAATATATTTTAAATACTATGACAAAATTTGATGTCAGAAATAATTATACAAATATGATTCAAATACAATCGATGATTTATAACGAAAATAAAATATCAGGTATATATAGATATGAAAATGGAATTTATTGTGATTATATTGAAAAATATATCGAAGAAATAATAGTTAATTGAGGTCTACACTTTTTTTACAGCGAAGAAGACATTCTTATTATTTCGTTCATTTGTATTTATTCTCGAAACACGAAATCTTTATTTTAACTAACAATAATTTATTTATTGAAAAGAACTTGAATTCGATTTCGATATATATATATTCTTTTATTTTCAATAAATTTATTTCATATTTATATCGATATCTAACATATTGTACATATGTCTGAAGAACATATAATAGTTTTCTTATAGTAATCAAGTTGTGTGTGAATGTCACGCGTAACTAAAACTTATCAAATTAGATTCAGATTTGATCAATTTTTCTACTATAATCTGCACTCTATTCATTAACTTCTAAATTAAACCTATAGTAAAATATATACATCTTTATTTTTTAGAATCGTCAATTTTCACCATTATCTGATTCAGCATCACGTTCAATAAAATATTTCCCTAGTCAAGCAGCATCTCCATCTTCACATCATCCAAATATTGGTTCAGTAACTCCAACATAAGCACCACCTCGTTTAATGAATCCTTCATCGAAACAACATCCTCAATTATTAACTGTTTCATTAACACGGACGAATAGACATGAAATTTTTATTTTGTAAAATGTTCAGAATAATATTTATGTGCCTGTGTGTGATGGTGTGAGCGTGAGTGTTGGTGAGTGAGGGTGTGGATGTAACAGTGTGACAGTGTGGGTGTGAGTGTGTGGGTATGGGTGTGGGTGGATGTCTCTTCTCTTAAGTCATACCCACACCCAGAGTCCGCGCGAAGGGTCTAGGATTGAGGGGGGGGGGGGGCTGTAGCGGGTTTTCAAAGAGTGTAAAAATTCTTGTGGGTGGTGCGAAAAGGGTATTTAGAGCAAAATTTGCTCTAAATTAGCTCTCATCGCTAAAAAAAACAAAAACTTCTAATTGTTGGAACGTTGTACTCTCCCTCGCGTCCCCTCTCCAGCTCGCGCGCGTGTTGCCCACACACCCACACTCTGCTGCTGCTAGTCGTTTAGAAATACTACAAATTTTTTCTTCTCGTTGTTATCAAATCTTCTTAGTTTAGTTTTTTCTCTTTTACTAATTCTTGTAACATAAAATAAAATGTAAATAGAGATAGAATGATGAAAAAACATATTTTTTCATTAAGAGTTGATATTTCTTTATATTTGAGAAATATTATTAGGCTATAAATACAATATTTATCATGTTTTTTAGTTTATTGAACAAATCAAAACGAGAATACATCTACTTATACAACGAAGGAAAATAAAGATATAAATCTTTTGAATGTACCACACCCTCTACCATAGTTATTTTTTTCACCTTAGCACAATTGCGTCGTGTTTCTTCTCTTGTAAAGTCTTTTGTTACAGCTTTTAAATCGTCAACAAATAACACTTCAAATTCCGTCAGACAAGGTACGAATGTCTTTGTTTCATTTAGAAATTGTTCAACATAATCTATATGTGAAGATTTGACATCAAGTATAGTCAGATAGGGATATTCAATAATTGAGTGTAATTGACAATTACCAGATGAAAATGTCATAACACCATTCAGTTTTTGTGATTCCCTATTCCGAATACGTAAATTTTGCAGTAATGGAAACGATTGGGCAATTCGCATAAAGAATTCATGTTCGAATGGAATAACATCTTGTATAAGTAAATTGGTAACATAATTAAATACAATATTTGGAAAGTTACTGTCAAGATCTCGGAGATAATCAAATTCAAAAGGAAGTGAGAAAATCGAGTATGCAGCTCTCACACCATGAACATAATTGGCAACAGCAGTACAATCATTGACCATACTACTGACATTTTGTAGTCCAATATTTGTTAATGTTTGTTGAATATCTTCACTAGATAACTTGTAGGATAAAGCAGCCGGTTCGACATAAGTACAAATATAGAAAATGAATGAACGAAGTTGTGGCATATAATTCAAAATATCATGTTGAACATAAGTACCATCAATAACTCTGTTTTGACCTTCTATAGAAATATTTAGAGTTAGTTTTTCCAGATTTGACATACGACGAAAAAGTAATATAATATTATCATATTGATGAAATGGATAGAACGATTTTAATGAGAAACATTTTAGACTCAATAATTTATCCTACAAAAAGAAAGAAATGTTTTTTTGATAATCTATAAGATTAAGTCATAGGCATCATTCGTTTACACATGGTGTATGATCTATATTCTGTCTGTGAATGAACATAAATAACAAATCTATTAGGTTGATTTTGTCATTTTACAGCACAGCAAAGAAGTATTAAAAGAACAACTAAAGTTTCAGACAAACTTTCAATTATATCTCAATTATTAAAAAATTGTTATTATAGAAAAACTTTCGTTCGATTCTATGGTGATGATCATTCACATATGATAATATTTAATCATATCATGAAACAGAGTAGTCGACTTTTCTATGTGAAACTTATTCGATAAAATATTATATAATTATAATTTCTAATAACAAATTACTAGTAAGTACAAACTGAATGTCAATGATTTTGATATACTCCTCAACACGTAATACGTTTTTCTCCTTATCAAAATGAAACTTAAACATTCGATCTCTTATCTGAATTTTTTTAGATCAATCGTTAACTGCATTGGCATAGTCATAGTCGTCATGGCATAAACGAAATTATTTGTAAAAACTTACCATATTGTGAACAATTTCTTCAAATGTGTCCATAAGATATACATTAACACACAATGTTGTCAATTTTCTAAGTCGACCATCAAGTAAATAAAAACAATCTTCTAAAGTTTCGACATTGATATATAAATGAGTAAGAATCGGAGATGAAAAAGTAGTCGATGGCAAATGACAAAGTGATAAAGGTGGATAACAAAGTGATAAACGTGGATGTGACACAGAAGATGGTTTCACAATGCTTAATTTTTTTAAATTTTTGAAAAAGATCAGAATCTTAACATATATATCTTTAGTATATATTTTCGAAGAACACCCCATGTAGTTTTCATCATCATTGTCAAGAATAAGATTTGTAATTTGTTCTTGAAAAATAAATCGAAGTGATGATTCATCTAAAGGAGAAAAGTAATGTAGTGAAACATATGATATTCTTTTCTTTTTAACACCTTTACTATTTCTCAGCTAATCAAATTCATATTAAATGCTTACTTGTGAAATAATTTGAAGCGATTTCTTTTTTGAAAATGACAAATTTTAAGTTTAGTTAAATTTGGGTAGTCAGTAGCAAGAAGAATACGTTCCATAAAAACTGCATCAAAAGCAAAACATTTCACATTATGATGAATTCTTGGTAATATATCGATGCAGAATCGATCGATTATAGAAATATTATCAATGGAGACAAACGTCAGAATGTCTGTGGAAGTGATTTCTTGTGCAAGAATGTTAAGTCGTCTATTATTAATATCGAATAAAGAATAAAGTACATCAATATTGTTCAACTTCTTCAAAATAATAAGTAATATTTCATTAGGTAAATCCAGAAGATGAACATTTGATCGGTTCATATTTTATTATGACTGTAATGTTTTTGACTAAGATAGAGCTTTATATACATACATATTTGGTCATTGTTTTCATCTATAGATGTAAACCGTCGGTTCCAGCAAAAACGAAGTAAGCAACGTGATTGGTCTGTTTCCGGTTAAATCATCTTTTTTAGCCGATTTATTCGTTAGTTCAGTCCGTTTGGATGTTTTGTGCCATTGTCAAATTCAAGGATGACACATTGAGAAAAAGAAAGGATTTATTTTTGTTATTACAACGTCAGTTGAATTTCATTTATTTTTTATCTCTTACATTCGAAATTTTTTAGTTTAAAATCAAATCCGAAGGGTAGGTATGGGTAGGTATGAATATAGGTAAAGAGACAACATTCACAGCCATACATCGCTAATTCCAAGTATTGAAAACATCAAAAAAAATATATGTTCTCAAAAATGTTTTTTAAATATTGCTACTTTTCGATGTTTTTATACTTCGCTATTTTTACTTTCGATATTTTTATGGGGAATCTATGAGACAACTCGACTTATTCCATGTAATAAATAAAATTTCAATTATATTTCTTTAAAATTTAATGTGAGAAAATTTTCATATAATTTCACAGTAATCAATCTTTTGACTTATGAAAGCAAGTATCAGTTGACAAGAATTTTGGCATGGAGTAATGTGCGTGGGCTTTAGCCTGTTAGTTGTATAAAAACACACAATTGAAAATGATCCATCATGTTCATTGTCAAAATACGTTTTTTTTACTAATTCTGTATGGATTATAAATGAATGAAATCGTTCCTATTTACGATGTCAACGATCACTCATACTTCATTTCTTGTATCTCTTTAATGGCTTCTATGTTTTCCTTTAACTCGTTAGTTACCTTAAAACAGTGACCATGATCATTACCACTAGTTACCTTTTCACGAAATATTAGCTTACTATTCCTTAATGACAATACTTGTTTGAAAATATTGGAACACCAAAACGTCTTGATAATATTCTTGATGTTACAAATGAGATAAATTTAAAAACAGAACTTTGTCATTTATCATATGAAAAGAAAGTTTTATTTAAACGTTTTTTAAAAGAAAAAACTCAAATAGGACTTTTCTAATATTTTTTGTTGAATGATAATGTTCTTGTTAATGATTTTTGTTTTAGATGGGTGGTCCAGCGGATATTAATGGAAAATCACATCCGGAAACAGATAATTTCCTTCCATGTAAATTTGTTATAGATGGAATAACATATTCATCAGCGGAAAATTATTTTCAATGTGCTAAAACAACAACTGATACTAATCGAAATATGGTTCAGTTCATTTTATAGGTTCAACGCCATTTTGGAATAAATTGAAAGAATCATGTCAAATGGTGAAGAAGATGCTCATCATGCTGCTAAAATTCATAATACTATGGACAAATTTGCTCAAGGTAGTAACTAACAAACTTTCCTTGATACGTTTTTTGATTCTATATAATTTAGAAATGAATAAAGTTAATTGTTTTTCAAAATATTCTTCACCCTTAAGATGGATGAAATATAATAAACATCTTTTACTTCGTCAAATTCTCCAGGAAAATATTTATGTTACAAATTATGGAAATATATAAGGCATGTAAAAAGATTAATCTACTAAGAAGTAATACAAAATAGAAAATAGTGTTCAATAGAATAAGTTAAATTCTTACAACCACTTATAAAAATAGGCAATGTTTTTCAATTAAGTGAGTGTTCTATTGCTATATTGTTTATAATCTAGTGTATTATATTCAGTGTTATAAAACTATTTATTAAAGAAATTCATCTCTTAACTTTATAGATGAATGTAAATCTACATTCTATTTAATTACCAATAAAGACTTGTAATCTATAGAATTTACTCATTTATTTTTAATTTGAAAATAATAGATGAAACATCTAGTCATAGTTAAAGATCTAACTATAACAAAGCAGGTTTCATTAGTCATTATTATTGTTAATTGAAATTTTCTGTTTAAATGCGAAAAATGATCAATTTTACACATGTGATGTCTTATAGATCATTAGTTCACTTCTTTTCCATTGAATTATTACTCTATAAAGTTATTCACTCTATATACTCAAATTTTATTAGAAAAAAAAATATTATTACGCAAAAGGAAAGTTTATACTAATTAAGATAATTAATTCTTCTAAGATTATCAATGCTGATCATTTATAAAACTGCCGGAAAAGTTAGTTAGTAGCTGCAGCATAAGAAGTAGGTTAATATGAAAATGTTCTATCTAATTCGTTGTATTGTTCATAAACAATTCCTTTTTCTTTAAAACTAATGTATATTAATGATTAATTCAATTTCTAACGTCCTATGTGGCACCGTATAGACTTTGTTTTTCCCTTATTATATTTTAGCATGATGAGAAAATAAAAGAGAAACAGAAAACAAGAGCGAGAGAGCGAAGGACAGACAGAGAGAGAGAGAGGAAAAAATATATATAAATATTCGAACGAATAAATAGGAGAAACTTACTTAAATATCATTACATTTTTCTTTTTAGTAATGTGTAATTGTTTACTTACTTTCATTAGTTTTTAGTGAATAGTTTATATGTTGTATAGATAACTAGGTAAGACACAAGAGATTTTATTGTCAGTTATAAAGGAAGTATTTTTCAAGTATAGAATGCTTTTTTTTTCACAATATAATTAGATAGATTAAAAAAGAACATGAAATATATCGGTTTTATGTCAGAATAGGAATTAGATTTTTTCGGATACACTCATGAAAATTTGTTGGAAAATATAATATTGATTTAAAGTTAAACTAGAAAATAAATTTTATTTTGAAGTATTATCATTTATAGTGAGCAGTATTTAAGAAGACGGCGAGGTACAGAAAAAAACTAGGGTAGTAATGTCCGTAAATAAGTTTTTCATTTAATAATTACAATCTACTAAAGTATCTATTTAAAAATTCACAACTCGTCTATGAATGAATTTGCCTCGATGTGTAACTGGACATTTATTAAATTATTTCTTGTTTCATTACAGACTTATATATGAAAAATATCATCATCATATTGTTTTATTTTCCTAGAAATATATCTATGATTTTCATAGATTAAATTCCAATATATTTAATTTCTTTTCTATAGAATTTATATTTAAGTGATAGATTCTACTCTATTATAATTATTTTTGTTCATACACATGGGAATCATATGCCTAGCATATGTAATCATCCATACAGAACAACAAGACTACAAGAAACATTTTTGATCATCCTTCTATCATTCTCTCATATATTCATTTTAGATTAAAGCTTTATATATTTATTAATTCTCGTGTAGATTCTACATTATAAAAAAAGAAAATGCATTCACCTTCTCTTTTCGTTTTATGCACAATTGCTATTTTCTTATTTATGGTCTCATCATCAACTGTAGTTGCTGAAGAACATCATATTGCCCCGGCAAGAAAATTAACCAATGCTGCTTGGCTTGGAGCTCCTCATTTTCAACAATTATCAAAACGTGGCCGAATGGTTTTTCGTGACGCACCACAACATTATGACCATGAATTAACAAAAAATGATGTCGAATATAATGAAGATTTTCTTACTAAACGAAATTGGCGATTATAAAAAAAAAAGAAATTAAATATTCGAAAAATAAACTTTCTTTTGCAAGACTCAATCTATATTTTTTTTGTTGTCAATATTAATAGTGTGTGCGTTAAAAATGAAAAATATTCAATAAATGAGAAAAACATTATCTTTACAACATAAAATAAATTGAAATTATTCTTACAAGAAAAAAAAACTAATAGACATAAACTCAATTATACTGTAAAATTCTAATTGCGTGCAATATAATCGTTCATCATTTGTTTAACACTTCATCAATCTTATTTTTTTGCATAAACAAAGAAAAATAAAGTAATCATATTTTCTGTAGTTCTTATTTAAGTAGAAATTAATATGACATATGTGATGGATAAGAATACAATTCATCTTCGTAATTTCATATTAGTAGTTTTTAATTAACTTTTATTTTCTATACAATTGTATGTTAACATGACATAGATAATCTGTTAAAGATTATCATATTTTCTTTTTATTATATTATTAGATAGAATTTAATTATCTATTCATTTCGAACAATGGTTAATTCTTATCAAGAAAAATAGTCATGTCTATCATAAGTCATTCTTTCAAGATTTTATTATCCTATCATCTTAATTAAATTTAATATTCACAAAAATAAAAAACAGTTGAATACCAATTCATATGACTACATGTTCTAATTATATGTATAAAGTGACATTTGCAATACATTCGGAATAGACATGAGATATTTAGTTAATATATACAAAAACATAGGTTTATAGTTTGAAATGAATTACTTATATTTATTAGACAACTTTATATATGAAAATTATTATGAATTTACAAAAACAAATGATATTACAGAATTTAATCCGATTTGTAAGTCTGGTTGTTGGAGACAATTGAATTTGTATTCCTAACATGGGCAATTTCTTATGTGTTTTATTTTTAACTTCTCTAGTGAATCAACTAAGTGCAATTATAATTAAACGCTTACAAATTATTTTAACATATTAAAAACATCACAATAAAGTGTTCAAGAACAGATACCAACATATAATATTTTAAAAAGATATTTTCATCAAAAACTAGAGAGAAAAATAAAACTATGTCAAATATTTTATCCAGGGATTTTTGTATTTTAGGATAAATATTATTTATTGAAAATATACTAAGAGGAAACATCTGTATTTTCTACCAATTAAACTCTAGATTAGACGAGGGAAAATATATTTTTATACTTTAATAAATCATTATTTATTTTTTGAATAGAAAGTAAATCATTTATCAACATATGCCATTGTTGAATCAAGAATACTAGCTGTCAAATGATAATTTCCTTTTATTTTATGAAAGCAGTATCTATCATATGCTTGGCAATTCAGACAATATCAAGATTTATTGTTCATATCTTTAAATTAGTCGAATTTTAGACGTTAATTATGACAATGATATATTTATTTTGTATGACAAAACGAAAATATCTTGAATTTATCGATAATTACTATGTATGAGACTATATGTAAACAATCTGTACAGTAAAGAAATATGTTTACTCACGCCATCTATTCATTTTTTTCGTATTGATGTATAAATATGTTCAATTTGCTTAGCTTTTAGTAACATAAATCGATACTAAATTTTCATTTGTTTTTCGTATTTCATTTGATATGTATCAATGATAAAATATAGAACAAATCCATTGAATTTTTTTTTAATCCTAAAAATTTTTCTTCTGGTTTAATTTAATTATTCTAATAAAATCAAAAATATTTTAATAATTATGTTTTAGTTATGGCATCGAATACAATTGAAAAGTATCCTTTAAATCGTCGTAAACATTATGTTAATCGTAATTTTCAAATATTTGATGATATTAATAAATCATCATCATCTAATAAAAAAGTATCATCAAAAATCGAATTAAAACCTAATCATCATCATCATCCTAAACCAGAATTTATTCTTAGTATTCATCATAAAGAAGGTCTTGATGTTGATAATGGTCTACGTCAATTAATGACATTATTAAAAGAATCTAAAGGCAAAGAAATTTATCAATATGATTCTCGTACATCATTACATATAAAAGGTTTAGATAATATTTATTATAAAACACGTAAACCATTACAAACACATAATGTTTGTAAGCGTTTTAAACCTGGTATGCCTGTTTGGATTTATTTTAAAACAACATGTGAAATATCCGAAGAAACAAAAATTGCAAATGAAAATGATAATATTGATTATACACCAAAAGAACGTCTTCATTATGGTTATCGTGGTCGTCTTCAACGTGAACAATTAAAAATAAAACAACAAAAACAAAATCAAAAACAAATTCTTTCATCTGCAAATGATCCATCAACTAATTTAACATCAATACATCGAAATACACCATTATCAACAATATGTCATTTAGTAACACTTGGATCATTTCTTGATTGTGGAACATTTATTGCACATACATCAACATTACCAGATATTGATAAATTTGAACTTGAATTTCGTTCAATACCACAATCAATTTATTTACGTTCAATTAAAAATCCAGATTATTTAAATACAAATGATGATTTACTTTATAATAAAATACTTTATTCAGTTTTAATTTCACATGATCATATTGAATCATATTTAATACTTAATCATCAAGATGATTTTATTGATTTATTTATTCCACTTTTATATGTATTAAAACCAATACAAGAAATTGAATTAGATGATTTAGGTACACGAAAACGAACACGTGCAACAAGATTTCATCGTTTTGATACAAAACATATTGCACAATCATCTGTTATGCATGTACGAATACCACTTTTAAATACAAGTAGTAAAATGATAAATGATTTAGCAAGTAAACTACTAGAAAATAATATTAAAGTTTTATATGGTAATATAAAAATTGTTTATATACCAAATGATTATATTAGTCCATATGAAAATTTACAATTTGGAAATTATCTTTGTAATTATGCTTGGCATATGTTAATGTCACTTGGTTAGTTTTTATTCATAATTAATAGATTTCTCAAAATAGAAAAGTTCTTTCTTGAATAAGAAGATATTAACGCATTTATGTATCCTTCTTTAATGTAGTTAAATCTATCGATGTAGATACTCTATCAAATTATCTACAAACTTGATAAACATATTTTTTAATTGTCTGAAATTAATACTTACGAGAGAATCACCTGAGGTGATACTTCTCGTTTGAGCTCATATTTTGCTTATAAGTATAGTTCATAGTGTAGATAAAATCCTTAAAAGGATTTTTACCCAAACTCTGTTATTGTTGAGATATTGGATTTTTAAGATATAAAGATATTCCATTCCTCTGGTCGTCCTCAGGGATATCGGGAAAACACATTTTCGAATTTGGACTTGAAACTTTGTATAAATGAAGGTCTCAATGATAGTTCTTTATTGGAAAAATCTCATCGCTTTTGGATGCTGTTAGCTGCAAACAAGAATACCAAGTATATCCTCTTAAGTGACATTATATGATGTTTTAGCTATATTTTCAGATAGAAACAAGCAATAGATCTAAAATTTTCCCAATAAAGAACTATCATTGAGATCTTCATGTATACAAAGTTTCAAGTCCCAATTCGAAAATGAGCTTTTTCGATATCCTTGAGAGGGACCACAGCAATGGAATATCTCTATATCTTAAAAATACAATATCTTAACAATAACAGAGTTTGGGGACAAATCCTTTCAGGGTTTTTATCTAGACTATAAGCTAAACCTATAGGTAAAGCATGAGTTTAAACTGGAGGTAACGCCTTCGATGGTTCCCTCGTTAGTTACATTATAGATTCTCAATATCTTTCTTTATTTTCTATTAAATTAGGTTATCGTCTTAAAGATAAATTAACTGATGAATTTGTATTAAAATTAGTTGATATATCAAATGATTCTTCATTATTTTATCATGCATTACGTGATTTATGGAAAACATGTAAAGATAATCCTTTTATGGATATTTATATATCATTATGTAATAATACAATAAAATATGCTGATGTTGGTGCTCGATGGTTATTTGATTGTACAACACCCAATTATTGTTATGTTCCGCGTGTTATCGTAACACCAACACAAATTTTACCGCAACCAATGCGTCCAATGAAAGAAAATCGTGTATTACGTGGTGGAAGATTTGGTTCATCATTTGCATTTTGTCGTGTTTTATTACGTGATGAAGATCTTGTAACAATGTCAGCTGAAACAGTTGAACAATGTCGTGAAAGAATATTAGATTTAATAAAACAAGATTTAACAATAGCACAAACTGATTATGAATATCTTCATTGTTCAAATTCACAATTACGTGATCGATCATTTTGGTTTTATAAACCAAATAATGGAAATACAGCTGAAACAATACGAAACTGGATGGGAGATTTTCGTTATGAATATTCTGTTTCATCTTATGTTACACGTATGGCACTTTGTTTTACAGGTTCAATAAAAACATTTACAATACAAAAAGCAACTGAAATTGAAGAAATTCCTGATTTTAAATCATTTGATGGACGATATGTTTTTACAGATGGTATTGGAAAAATTAGTGAACCAATGATGAGACGAGTTTTTGAAGCATTAGATTTAAATCAAACAACAGGTTATTTACCTTGTGCACTTCAAATACGTATGGCAGGAATGAAAGGAGTTTTAGTCAAAGCACCTGAACTTGGTATTTTACTTAAATAAAATTTTCATAGGAAAAACTCTTTTTTTGTATTTTTGTTTTAGGTTCACGTGAAATAATTCAAGTTCGTCGATCACAAATTAAATTTGAATGTGATCATTATGATCTTGAAGTAATCGATTATTCAAAACCATGTAATTTAACATTAAATCGTCAAGTTATAACATTACTTTCATCGCTTGGTGTTCAAGATATTGCTTTTTTACATATACAAAATGAATCACGTCTTCGAGCAACTATGGCATTACTTAAATGTCGAGAAGCTATTAGTTTATTGGATAAAGTTCGATTTTTTGAATTTGAAAAAATTAGTAATTCCGGAAGTATGTTAATTTGAATTTGAAAATCTAATAAATTAATTTCTTATTTATTTTTGTCTTTCAGTTGATATATCACAAGAACCATTTTTTCGTTCACTTTTAATTGCTGCTTATCGTGATCGATTACGTTGTTTAAAACAACGTTCAAATATTTCTATACCTAAAACATATGGTCGAGCAATGTTTGGAATTATTGATGAAAGTCGAACACTTCAATATGGTGAAGTATTTATTCAATATACATCAAATAGTCAAATTGAATCGGAAATTGTTCTTGGTTATGTTGCTGTAACAAAAAATCCTTGTTTATATCCAGGTGATATTCGTATATTAAAAGCGATTGATGTTCCACATTTACATCATTTACATGATTGTATTGTTTTTCCTTGCAATGGTAAAATTGTAATTGTAGAAATAATCAATACTATATTTCTAATATTAAGGTAATCGTCCACATACAAATGAAATCTCTGGTTCTGATCTTGATGGCGATGTCTATTGGGTTTGTTGGTTACCTGATTTAGTGCCAAATCTTGAAAATCAAATTGAACCATTAGATTATGATACATTAGAAAAAAAACTTCTTGATCATGCTATAACAATGGATGATGTTGCTGAATTTTTAATTGATTATATGGCAAATGATTTTCTTGGTGAATTATGTAATGCACATTTAGCATGGGCTGATTTAGAATTAGCTACAAGTCCACGTTGTATTGAATTAGCACATGATATAGCTGCTGTTGTTGATTATCCTAAAACAGGTATTAATCCTGTAAATGATGAAAAACGTCGTGAATTAAAAGCACCACGTTATCCGGATTTTATGGAAAAAGAAATTCGTACATATTCAAGTCGAAAAGTTCTCGGTAAAATTTATCGTCAAGCACGTTGTGCATATGATTTACATGTCCAATTAGAATATGTTGATCAACAACATTTTATTGAAATTGATGAAACATTATTAACTGATGGTTTTGAATCATATCTTGATGATGCTAAACGTCAATATAATTTATATTGTAATAAATTACAACAAATACTTGATTTATATGATTATAGTACCGAAGCAGAATTAATTACTGGTTGTCAACCATTATTTCTTGATGAAAAACGTTCATATGATGCAGCTGATGTTGCTGGACAAGATTTTAAACGTTTACGTACAGATACACGAAGAGAATTTCTTAATGAATTTATTCGTTATAATGAAAAACAACAACATCGTAAACGTGATCGTGAGATAACATTAATATCACCTGATCCGAAAATAGCTCGTTTACAATTACAAAAAGCATCAGCATGGTATTATATTGCTTATACAGAAGAACATGATGATCATGATCATTTAATAAAATCGAAATCATTTGCATGGATTATGTGGGATTTTCTATGTGAAATACGTTCACGTAAAGAACGTATTCATCATTTATCATCACGAACAATATCTGAAGCATTAAAATCTTATTATATAACAATGGCAAATGTTAAATCACGTCATATATCAAATTATGAAAATGCACGAACAAATTTATATAAATATTTATTAGAAGATCAATGTGAACATTTATTTGAACCAGCATATTCATTTCTTAATATACCAGAATTAACTGGTTCACGTGTTCGTGTTATTATTGATTCACATAATAATTTAGATAAATCAAAAACAATTATTAATTTAAATCGACAACAATATGATATTGTACCATTAAATATAAATAAAATAAAATTATTTAATAAAGCAAATAGATTTTATTGGAAATTATTAATGCAACAACCAGCTATTGCAACTGTATTAGAAATTGCTATTGATTGGGCAGCTAAACATCAATGTTTTACACGAACGGATAGAGAAGGAAATAAAATTCTTGTTTTAAAACCTGAAATTTTTTTTGAAAGAGCTTTAAAAGCTTTATTTAAAGATGTTCCAGCTTGTTATTTACCTTCATTTGAAGATGACGATGATGATGATGAGAATAATAAAATTATTAATGGATCTAATGGTGATGATACAGTTACATCTACATCAGATGATGATGAACATTCAATTAAAGTAACTAATAAAAAATTAAATGCAGATTTATTTTTAACCTATGAACAATGGACAAATTACATGATTGATAAAGTAAGTAGATTTTATAAAGGATATATAATTGATTTTTATTCGTTTCTTTTAGTGGGATTTTCAAGCAATAGCATATAATTTTCAAAAATTAATTCGTGTTTGTAATGATGAAAAAGATATATGTTTTCTTAATGTATGTCATTTACTTCTATTGGCATTACAAAAAATTGGTATTACTCGAACTCTTGATAATGCACCAATTGATCTTAAAGATTCTCTTGTTTATCGAGTATAACAATAAGTTAAAGATTTAATTGTATAATTTTTTATTTCTATTTAGTTGGATCAACCAATGAATCGAACTGGTCCATCATCAGCATTAAATGAAAGTATATCAAAAGTAGAGTCAGTTGCGCCAGAATAGATTCGTTTTTGATCTTTCTGATTTTTTTCCGAACTAGTCATTGATAAAAATATGAAAAGTGTTATTAGTTCTTTTACTTTTTGCGTAGTAAAACGAAAACTTTAGCATTTCTATTCGAACACTCAGATTGTATTCAATACTGATATGATTTATTTCTCATCTTCATTGAACTTGTACATATATAGATATTATTTGATACAGTGGCAAATTTTCACTATTGTTTTTCGTTGTGAACGAAGTGTTGATATGTACAACACGTTGTTGCTTTCAGCTTTCTTCTTTTTCATCTTTTTTTTTTCATTGTAATTATAGTATCACTTTCATCGTATTATTTGTTATTTAAACATAAATAAAAGAAAAAATGAAGAGATTATAATTTAGAAGATTTTTTTTACAAATAAAATATATTTGGATATTGTCAAAAAGCTTTTGAGAAAAGGTCGAGTAAGTGCTCAAATTTTCCAGGATAATCCTGCTTTGTGATGTTAGATGGGATAGGTTATTTCAAAAAAACATCGATCAAGATAGAGAATGGAAACTCATGCTCTTACAGAATACCAGCCTTATTTAGTCTGCGCTTTATATCCTTTTCGAATAACTTGTTTTAGAATACAAACTCTATCACGTGAGTCGTAAAGTTAAAATTTCGATAGTTCTATCTAAATCAATCATAGTTGTACAATTTTCTTAGGATAGCTATAGGTAGTTCTTAGTGGTGTTAGTTATCTAGAGCAATATTTAGCATATCACTTTTCAACGAACAAAGTATATAGTGTATAACTTGAAACTTGGCTTCAACTATACTCAACCATTTACTTTCATCTCCTTATGTATATTTTTTCCTAAAATACAAATCTTTACCATTACTAAGGGCTCTTTCTTAGAGATACAAATCACACTTGTCGAATGCTTCCATATATGTATATATCTCTATAATATATTTTATCCGTTTTATAAAACTTGTATATATACAATTTTTTCAAATATATGTCTATAAATGAGTAGAATTCAAATGTATCCTGCTGTTTAGAGGAAGATAATGAACAATATTATATACTAAAGCTGTTATCAGAAGTGAACATCAAGTACTAATCCAAGCTCTCGATCAAACATTTTCTTTTTCTCTTGCAAGCCAGTTAGTCAATAAATATACACATAAGTTGTAAACTAATTCTTTGAGTTATTGAAACATAGAAATCTATGCAAAGTTTTTTCTAAGTAATTAACATTCATACTATCTGCTTTACAAAGATTTTCTTGTTTAATTTTCTGATTACCTACTTCTTCATCGTCAATTCTTCTCATTTTTGCTACATCTAGTTTAAATAAAAGATAACAAATCATATCATAAAGTTATCTTTAGTCATATGCATTTTATCAGTTTGTGCAACGCTTTCTAGTTCATAGAGAAACAAAAGTTGTTGAGTATTCTAATAATCTTACTATACTAGTCTGAAATATAGGAAGATTATTGTAGATTTAGAAAATAGTTTTGATATTAAACAAGTGATACCTGCAAAATGTAGATAAACTATGAAATATATTGACATGTTATTTTTCCTTTCTTCCTTTTTCAATTTATTCCATATCAATATTGAGGTAGACTACGACAAAACTCCAAATTGATAAGGTATATGAATAGAATTTTATATATGTATTTATTTATATATGAAAGTATTAATTCTATTCCTCGGTTACATTCATATATATGTATATACATATACAAGCATTCTACTCATTTCATATGGATGAGTTTATTGATGGTATGAACTATTCTTTAGTATTGGAATAGACAGACTAATTCATTCTATTGATAAAATAAACTTTTTCTCTCCTTCTATTCTTCTATGTTTCTGTTGAATATCTTTCACTTATCAAATACCACGAAACGCTACCTGTTCAGACATAACAATATAACTATGAAGGTCTTTTCTATAATACATATATTTTCAATATATGTTGTGCACCTTACCGATGAATTTTACTGTTCACATTGTGTTTTCAACTGGAAGAGAGTTTCAATAAACACTTTCTTTTTCATCAGTTTTATTTTGCTTTCAAAAAAAATACAGAAAGAAATTATAATTTCTTTTTTATGCGTTCGAGGTTTTCTCTGCATTGTTGACGTCTAGACTGATTTGTTGGTTATGATTGTTGTCCAATTTGCACAGCACGTTCATAGAACGAATGATCTTTTGAATAGCTGCCCATAATCGGATACACTGTACGATGCTGTTATAGAAATACTCAAATCAGGACGATTGGAAGGAATCAATTGCTGTCAAATTGCAAGGGCTTTTTCAAGATATGAAAGTGCTTTCGAATAATCACCCATCTTGTTACACACCAAACGCATGCTGTCATACGACTTAGCCAAATCAGAATCATTCGAAAGAAGTGATTGTTGTCGAATCGCAAGGGCTTTCTTATGAGATGAAAGTGCTTTTGGATAATCACCCGTGTTATAATACATCAAACCAATGTTGTAATGTGAATTACCCAGATCGGGATGATTCAAAGGAAGTGATTGTTGTCGAATTGCAAAGGCTTTCTTATGAGATGAAAGTGCTTTTGGATAATCACTCATCTTGTCATACACTAAACCTATGTTGTTATAGGAATCTCCCAAATGAGGATGATTAGAAAGAAGTGATTGCTGTCGAATTATAAGAGCTTTTTCATGAGATAAAAGTGCTTTTGGATAATCACCTATGCTGTCATAGACCATACCGATGTTGTAATTGGAAGAAGCCAAATCAGGATGGTTGGAAGGAAGTGATTGTTGTCGAATTGCAAGGGCTTTTTCAAGACAGGAAAGTGCTTTTGGATAATCACCCATGCTTGTATACACATTACCGATGTTGTTATAAGAATCTCCCAAATGAGGATGATTAGAAGGAAGTGATTGCTGTCGAATTGCAAGGGCTTTTTCAAGACAGGAGAGTGCTTTTGGAAAATCACCCATGCTTGTATACACATTACCGATGTTGTTATAGGAATCTCCCAAATCAGGATGATTGGAAGAGAGTAATTGTTGTTTAATTACAAGAGCTTTCTCATAATAAGAAAGCGCTTTTAGATATTCAGACATGCTGTAATATACAATACCGATGTTATTATAGATATCAGCCAAATCAGGATCATTCGAGGAAAGTGGTTGTTGTCGAATTGCAAGGGCTTTTTCATAATAAGAAAGTGCTTTTGGATGATCTCCCATGTTGGTACACTCCAAGCCAATCTTGTAATAGGAATCACTCAGGCTAGAACGCTTGGAATGAAGTGATTGTTGTCGAATTTCAAGCGCTTTTTCATGAGATAAAAGTGCTTTTGGATAATCACCCATGCTACAATATACACTACCGATTCTGTTATAGGAATCTCCCGAATGAGGATGATTGGATGGGAGCGATTGTCGTCGAATTTTAAGAGC